AGGAGGAGGAGGAGGAGGAGGAGGAGGAGGAGGAGGAGGAGGATTGTACAGATTCGGATCACGATTCTTCTTTTTTTTTATATGCATACGAAATTCTCGAAGTGCCGCTGCCGGTTGAAAGATATGACGAACGCGGGTCATTCGTTGGCGCGACGCGGCACCCATCGGTTATGGAATTCCAGGCGAGATATGTATGTGTCGAGACGTGAGATCGGCGATCTTCTTTTTTCGTGAATAATGTTGGTTCCTGGAGAAATTATCTTTATTCCCGTTGATGTTTTATTTCGGAATTTGAATATTTCGTTCTGGAGTTTTTGTACAATTGTAGGATAATTATTGCGTAATTATCGAATAATTATATGTATAATTGTGGAATAATCATTATAATATAATTATATTCTGTTCTATATAATAAATTATTCTATATTTATTATATAATTATAGAATCGTTGTTATAATATAATTATATTTTTTGTTCTATATATTATATTATTCTATATTTATGATATAATTGTAGAATAATTGCATATAATTATATGGAATAGTTATTATAATATTCTATTCTATTCTGTATATTATATTATTCTATATTTATTATATAATTATAGAATAATTGCATATAATTATATGGAATAGTTATTATAATATTCTATTCTATTCTGTATATTATATTATTCTATATTTATTATATAATTATAGAATAATTGCATATAATTATATGGAATAGTTATTATAATATTCTATTCTATTCTGTATATTATATAATTACATATAATTATATAGAATAGTTATTATAATATAATTATATTCTATTCTATATATTATATTATTCTATATTTGTTATATAATTATAGAATAGCTGTTATAATATAATTATATTTTATTCTATATTTATCATATAATTATATAATAATTATACTTAATTATGGAATAATTATCACAATATGATTGCATCTCATTCAATATATTTTATTTTAGGCTGAAATATTGAATTGTAACAAGCGATTAGATTTCTTCGTAGGAACAAATCTGTATAAAAAAAGTTATACATTGTAAATAGACAGAGTGTATTCGGTATTAATAATATCGAGTCTCGGATTTAAAAAGTATGCAAATGTACAAAAAGGTTCGAAAACCTTCCCCGAAGATACGGGGAACCGTTCGAGCCTTAAAAAAACATATATCTTCCACGTTTCCTCTCGGACGACCGACGATGTTCCTAAAGAGAAAGAAAATAAAAAAAAAAAAATAATAAAAAAAAGAACGAACCGGCATCGAAACACGCTCGACGCGATTCTTCGATCCTTCAAATATGTTAAGGAACGAATCGACGTTCGGAGGTTCGTATTAACGAAATCGCGATAAGACTGTTGTACGACTGTAGATAAACGATTAAAAAATTTATATTAAATACACATTTTTCATAATAATTTTTCAATCGAATCGCGAACGCGCTCTGCCGGCTGAGAAAAACCTTGGATCACGATTATCGGATGACGACAAGTGAGTTTCCTTTCTTTTCTTTTCTTTTTGCATTATTTTGTATATTCCATAGAAAATATATCATTATTTTGTATCGTTTCTATTCTTTTCTTTTTTTTGCATCGTTTTTCTGGAGTTTCTACGTGTGATATTCCAAGTGATTCGAAGGCTTTCCGGCAATGCATAGTGTTCGCTCAAGAAAGAATGTTTCTTCCAATTCGCTTTCTTTTCTTTTTTTATTTGTATTAGGAATAAATAAGCACTACGGTTGATCCGGAACGAGAACGATAGAGAAGAAATCGCGCCAAGAGAAATCGTACCAAGAAAGTGTCGGTGACGAAAAAATGCTGTAAATATTTCATAATGAATTTGTACGTGTATCGACTCCGACATGGGACGAGTGACTTGGGACGGGAGACTTATTGTTGTATTTTTTCACAAATATCTAATTCTATTTTCGCTGGTTGCTGTTACTGGTTCAATGTATGCCGCGACATTTCATTCCTGTTACAATTGTTATCGACGAACCGAATTATTGTATTCGAGCCGGCGACCTTTGCTGTCTTTCTCTCTCTCTCTCTCTCTCTTTTTCTCACCTCCTTTTTTTATATGGAATAAAACCGATTAACCGAAAGCTTTTTCTGTTTAATAATTGAATACCGCAATTAATTGTAAGCACGGAGAAAAAGAACTGTAATTGTGTTTGAATCATGATACGGTTTAAATATTCCCCGAAGAATTCCATAATTTATCCGTAATGTGTGCTCCATCAGTCTCTCTCTCTCATATACTCGCATTAACATTCGATCATCAGGAAAATTAGAGGCTTAATATAAAAAACATCGTTCGAGGGTTTTGATCGCTTTTTCGGTGATTTATTTATTGCCAGATACTCGTTAGTGTTAGTCTTCGTCGTTGTTGAACAAGATACGCGAATTGAATTCGTCCAGAAAAGCAAGTAGAATATATATATATATATAATATTAATTATTATATTAGATAATAATTATATTATTATATAAAATTATATTATAGTAGATAAATAAATTATATTATTATCTAGTATTATATTATATAATAATAATTAATATAATTATTATATTAGATGTA